GAAATACCCACTCCAAAGTGTGTGACCAGACTCAGGTCAGAAACCAAACACACCCGGTCCCCTGGGGCTGCCCTTATGTGCCTTCCTCTCCACCTCCAAGGCCGATCTCCACTTTGGCTTCTGTTCTATCATCAGCATCTGGATTTCCCAGCCAACAGAACCCTATGGGTCACACTGCTCTGTCTGAATTCCTTTGCTTCATGGTGTGGTCGTGACTGATCCATGTCTTCCCTCCTCCTTGATAAATATGATTCTGGGGTGTATCCGTTCTCTTCCAGGTGGAAGTTAAGCTATTCAGGCTACTGAGGACTACGTGACGAGCACTCTCTCAGACTTTATTTCTCATTTTTCATACCCTGCCCCCTCCCACCTTGGCAGGGTCTCATAAAGCCAAGCTGTCTTGGATTGAATATGCTTGGCCCAGGGAGTGTCACTATTTGGAGGTGTGGCCTTGTTGGAGTGGGTATGACCTTAGAGTAGGTGTGTCATTGTGGGTGTGGGCTTCAAGACCCTCATCCTAGCTGCCTGGAAGCCAGTCTTTTGCTAGCAGCCTTCAGATGAAGATGTAGACCTCTCAGCTCCTCTTGCACCATGCCTGCCTGGATGCTGCCATGTTTCTGCCTTCATGATAATGGACTGAACCTCTGAACCTGTAAACCAGCCCCAATTAAATGTTGTCCTTATAAGAGTTGACTTGGTCATGGTATCTGTTCACAGCAGTAAAACCCTAAGACACGAGGCTATCCTCAAACTATCCTCAAGTAGTTGAGGATGACGTTGAGCTTCTGATTTTCTTGCTTCTACCCTCGAGTGCTGAGACTAGAATCATGTACCACCCTGCCAGCTTATATGATTGCTAGGGCTTCATGCACACTCAGCAAGCACTCTATAGCATAAACCACACCCCCAGCTCTCTCAAACAGCTGAAGGAGGCTTTGAAGGGTTTGTATGTAAGCAGCTCTTTTGAGGAGCCAATAGGAGCAGTTAACCTGGGAGAACCGAGTGAGTGGGTGGGCAGGCATCATACATGGTAGGGTCTGTGGACTAACAAAGTGGACCAGAAGCAACCTGCTCTAATGATGATTTAAGATCACTTTCTGGGAAGGAGGTTGGAGCTATTGGGGAAGGGACACAAAGAGTCGGTGATGGAGGGAGGGGGGAGATGTAGCAGCAGCAGGGACTCCAGAGACACAGAACAGGGCTGGGTTCTTGGTTCTAGGGGACTTCACGATGTATCTAGCACTTTAAAGCATACATATGTTTCCTCTGTGGTATCAAGTGTCTCTTATGCAATTTCAGTGATTTCTGAGGCTGAAGCCCTCCACAGCTCTGTTGGGCTGGATGGACACAGGCCTTGGAACAAGGCTTCTCTTTTCTCATGTCTGTCCGTCTGTCTCCCAACTCTAGCTCTAGCTGCTGGGTGGTGGGGTGGGGCTTTCCCCACATGCTCGTATTTCCACCCAATATGCAGGCTCACACTGATGAATGAATGGTAGCTGACTTCATCCAGGCATTCGGAGTCCAGGCGGGGGTTGGGGGGAGCTGCAAGGCTTCTTCTAACTGGCCTCAGATGAGCATCGAAGATGCCATGTTCTTCTTCTCAGGCAAGCCATGAAATCCAGCCCAGGTCCAAGGGAGTGCAGGGACTCCCATATCCCATGAAGGGCATGGTGAAGAGCAAGGAGGGAAAGCTGAGTGGTCAGGTCATGGTAGGACAGAGAATAAGCTGAGGTGTCATCACATCAAGTGGCTGGGACTTGCTACTGGCTTCCTTTGCCTTAAGAATCTACATGCAATTCCATTTATGCCGAAAGGGACAGACAGAGTCACATGCCACATAATAACTTGTTGGTTAACGGCAAAATACATGTTCGTTGATGGTCCCTTAGGAACCTAGCTCCCAGGGATGTCACAGCTAGTTTAGTCTGTGAGGATGCATGTTACAGTGTCCACTCAAGGACAAAAGTGCCAATAATACATTCACCAGGATGCACAAAGTGTCTCTTCCTTATGACATGCACAAACTCACCTTCTACAAAGGCCCCATTGAGATATGTCTTGACGTGAAGCTATTTGGGGTCCTTGGACATCAGATTTGGGCATCTCCCTTGGATCTATGCAGAGCCCTTTATTCCTGACCTGGAGGAGAACTTGCTCTAGTGGTCTTAGTGAGACCCAAATCAGCCAAAGTGCTCCCTAGAGAGGGACCCTGCTTTAAACAGCCCCAAGTGGGAGCTGCCTAGTTGAAAGCTACCAGAGACGGCACATGAAGATCAGGGGAGTTTCTAACCCAGATCCAAGGCTTGAGTCTCCTCCTGGCTGAAGCTCTCCAGTGACCTTGGGGACGCTGTGAAACTTTTCTGGTCTTAATTTTCTCATCTCTAACATCAAGACAATAGCCTCACCTCTCCAGAGGAGTTGCTGGGAAGGGTGAATGAGATTATAAGTGCTCTTGACTGGGTTCCTGACAGCAGGAAGGACTAAACGCCAACTGCACCGGTAGGACAATAGACATGCAATAAGACTAGAAATGGCTTCTACCGTCAGAGAGTGTAAGCTCCAGGGTCAAGCCCAGGAGGTTTATGGGTACTGGTTCTGACTTTTGAACTATCTTTCCTGGGATTCTCAGCAGAAAAACTTGCTTTGCTTTTGATTTCAAAATGAAAAAAAGAAAAAGAAAAAAAAAGTTCATTGCTGCAATGTGTTGCAAACACCTGAGGGTGTGGGCATTTATCTCTGTAAAGTTTTCAAAGCACCCTCTCTCCACATTACATGTAACCAGCATCTCCCTCTTTCTGGTGGTGGTGAGGGTGAGGGTTATCATTAGTTTTTCTGGAAAAATGTACACTCCTTAAATAGAGTTTTTATATCTACCAAAAAAAAAAAATTAGCTTCTCTGTCCCCGGGGAAGCAGCCTTTGACAATTCAAAACTGGGAGGAATGAAGGGTTTTATTTGTGGAAACTGGGACATCCGGTACCATCTACCTAGGGAAGCAGAATTTTTTTTTAACCATCCACCAACACCTCTGCATAGCAAAAAAATTAATAAAATCTTAGGTAATACATCAATCTTGTCCATTATAGGCAGTCTCCTAACGTCAGGGGGACATTATCTTCCAGATGTGGGTTTGCTCTGACCCGTTGAAATGACCTGGGTCTCAGTGAAGAGCCTTCTGTGGATCAACATCTCTGAGCTCGTATCTCTACAGGCAGAGAGCGTGAACAGAGGGCAGAAGTCAAGAGAGGCTAGCAAGTTGCCTGGGACCACACAGCCAACCCAGAGCCAGGGCAGGAGAAGCTCGTTTCTCCTGCTGTGCATTCCCCCCCTGCCCTCTGGCCTGCTGGTTGCTCATGGAAGAGACTCTGCTTTGCCTTAGGCTCCAGGGCTCTGTGAGGATCCAGAGTTAGTAATTAATAAAGCTCAAATGTAATTTGTTTGTGTATGCGTGCAACTGATATGTCTTGAACATCAAATGTCTACGAGTCAGTTACGTTAGCCGATATAAAATAGCCTCACTTTCAAGGCATTCTCCAGGAGTTTAAAGTAAAGGGGGCACTATAGATTGGATCTAAGAGTCTCGCAGAGGTGTTTGGGTAAAAGTGCTGTACTTACTACCTGGAGGCTGCGAATCTTAAGGCAGTGGGGTCTACTCAGTATCCAGGTCACCGAGAGCCGGTCCTTGAAAGGGTTAGGGGCCCATCTGCTTGTACTTCTCTGCACTCCAGTTCATGTGGTGATTGGTTTTAACTGGTTTTGCTTGGCCCTGGACATCTACCATGATGCATTTCATTGCTCAAAGCAGCTGGGCCAACTAGAGACAGAACTCCGAACTGTGAGCCCAAACCTACCTTCTCTCTTCATAAGCTGATGAACTCCTGTAGCTGGTAGAGTAACAGAAAGCTGACTAACCCGGTGGGAGTGACAGGCAGAGAACGTTAGAACACGGGGCTACAGGAGTCCCTAACCAGGCACCCGGGACCATCAGATCTTCCATCTAAATAGTTCAAGAATCTATTTCCTCTGCTTGGCGGAGACTGCCACCCACTCGCTAGGTCGCCTGCTTTGTATCTGTCGCCTTCCACAGCATGGCTACTGGGGCCAGGAGGAGCCCTGTTTAGTGCCCCAAAGCCCCTATCTCAGTGGTGAGGTCAAACTGAGGAGACAGCCTATACCATATACAGGGCCTGGCCACGGGGGGAAAACACTCAACCAAGTTCTGTTGAATGAATGAAGCCAGGGGTATTTATAGCACAGTACAGCCCGGTGGCATCATAATGCAGACCCCTGGCTAGAAAATGTCTTGGTCTTTTAAAACAATAATCACTAGCCGAATGGCTGCGATCTGCTAACTTTGAAATTTTTGTCACTTGAAATTTGTAAAGTTTTATTCCGGTTTATTTATTTACTTTTATTTTGAAATCTGTTTCTGCTATGTAGCCAAGGCTAGCCTCAAACTCTTGGTCCTCTTGTCTGAGTCTCTGGAATTCTGGGATTACAGGCTCAAATTACTCACCTGGGCTCCTGAAGGTTTTAGCATTCTGATTACTATAGAGATTTTGATTGAGATAAGAATTTTACAATATATGCCCTCCCCTTTCTCTCTCTATATATATATCCTCTAACAAGGATTCCTACCTGTTTGGCCTCTGGCATCCCTACTGAGGCTGACGAAGGCTGTCTCCACATATAAGAGGCCATTGTGGTTTGTGTGAGAAGTGTCTCAAAGGCTCATGAGTTAAAGGCATGGTCCCTGCCTGGTGGACAGGGTGATTGGATCTTGAGGGCTCTGAGCTAATCAGTCAATTGATCCCTTGAAGGATTGACAATATGGTGGCCTCATTGGAGGTGGTGGGGAGGGAGGAATGAGACCTGGAGGAAGTGAGTCACCAAGGATGTGGCCTCCTTCCTGGAAGCCCTCCCTCTTCCTAGATGTCATTATGTGAATAGCTTTCTTCTACCATGATGTTCTCAGGCTCACAGCCACAGAGCCAGATAACCATGGAAACCTGCAAGCCCGTGAGCCTACATAAATCCTTCTGCCCAGTTTCACTCTGGTATTTTGTCATGGCAATGAGAACATGGGGAAGAAGCTGTTTCCAGAGAGGGCAGCTTCCCTCCACTTGGGCCCCTTCCACTCCTCTCAGTGGGGTTGCACAGGAACACGAAGGGGGGCACCTTGTCCTTTTGCGTCTGGAATCCACATGACAGTCATGTTAGCTGGAACACAGATTGGAACCTGTGTCTGACCTTCCTGCCTGCATTCAGCAGTCTCCAGAAGCAGGAGCCAGGAAGGTCACTCACTGGGTCAGATGAGCTGGAAATCCCTGTGTGGGCCTGGGAAGGAGGCTGGATTCAGTGCTGTCTAAGCAGTCTGCAATTCCCCCAAGTCTTTCCCTTCGGGAGAAGTCAGTTTTAAACAATGACCAAGATTCTGGAAGAACTGGGAAACAACTAGAAAAATCAGTTGCTGGGAACTTCCGGGAAGCCAAGTCTGTAGGCAGAGTACTTTTCCTTTTCTAAAAATGTCTAAAACAGAGAGAGAGAGTACTGTTCAGTCAAGCAAGAGGCCAAATGCCCAGTTTTGCCCAGAAGTCCACACCTTCCAGAAGGCTGGACGTGCCTGAGGAAGGGATACCCTATACTGGCACTTGTGCCTGCTTCTCCACTGGGTGTGCTTTGCCAGGAGAGCTATGCAAACATGTCTTGATTGCCATCTCAAAAGTTTGCTTGGGCCAAGTCATGAAAGCCCAGCTGTTGGCCCACCAATCCCCCTGCTTTCTGAATTCTACAATAAGGGCCATTCACGCATGGTACTTGAGAACCTTCCTCTGTGCCAGACACAGTGCTTCATGGTCAAGTGGAGAAATGGGTAAGACTCAGCTGTGTTCTTCAGGACCTCACGGTTGACTGAGGAAAAGCCATCAAGAAAATGTTATGCTCGAGCTGTGTAGACAGCGGACAGCAGGGTTCATGAGGTTATACCAAAAAAAACTCCAGGTTGGCACCAGTCACTCAGCAGGCCAGGGTGATGGAGACGGTGCCCTTGAGGTGAGATTCTGGAGGCATAAACTGGAAAGGAAGGAGCCGGGATGGTTTCAGAGTGGCCAGGAGATGACATGTTTATCAGTCTATTTTCTGTTTCTAAGACTAACAGATGGGAGTTTTGTTCCATTTTGAAGGGGCTTAAAGAGCATGTGGCATGGCCGCGGTCATGATGACGCTCCTGGCGATCCATCTCTCACTGTGGAGATGACACCATGGTGTGACTGAGTGACAGGGAGAGACCGCCCACAAACCAGGAAGCTAGGAAGCTGGAGGGATCGCCCTTGGTGATGCTGGGTTTGGAATCTAGGACCTTGCGCATAGCAGGCAAGCGCTCCAGCATTCTGCTACCCTCAGCTTGTTTGTTCTACGATAACTTGGTCTTGTGAGGACAGCCAGGGTCCCACGAGAATGATCTTAATTCCTTCTGAGGGGAACGTATCAATGGAGACCTAAGACCTCTCAGGAGGCCATACCTCTTACGCTCTCATAGCCTCTCCCATCACCACGCTGGGACCAGGCTTCCAAACATGAACCCAAGAGGGACAGACCACACCAGATCACAAGCACTAGGGGTAGCCAGAACCTGTAGCAACTCAAAGTGGCATTAGATCAAAGTGGAGTAGTATGAGGGACAGGTGAGGGTATAAGCCCAAGGACCAATCAGAGAGACTAGGTGTGCTCCCACAGCCCTGAGAGGTCCTGATTGGGGTCCTATTCATTCAGTGACGCTCCAGGTGCTGTTAGGAGCCAGCTTCATGGTCAGTTCTGGCTCCCAGGCCATTTGAAAAACCACCTAAAATTCCTTCCATTTTGATTCAAAGAAACATCTGATTTACAGTTGCTGCTTAATCAGTGATGACTCAGGCCCCTCCCTGTCATTCCCAAGAATAGGCATCATGGATTCACGACAGACAGCTTTTCCTTTCTGATCACTTTCAACGACACGCTCTTTCGAGTCAAGTTCTCCGTCGCCCATCCCACGACGGAGACGATGCTGACTTTCTCGCTCGATTTGCTTTGTGAAGGAAATGATTTTCAGCCCACAGCAATGAGAGGACACAAATTTCAGTGTGGTGTCTTGCTGAGGCGAGGTGAAACCATGCGTCTTAACTGGACCTGGCTCTATAGAGTGACGATGAATCCAAGCAGGGACACGGTGGTCTAGTCAGAGCCTCAGACACCCATGATCTCCACAGAGGCTACCCTGCTGGGTGGATGCCTGGCCCTGGGGGTTGGAGTCTGGGGAGGTGGAGAGATGGTCCTCTCTCTCCCCTTTAGGCTCAGCTTCAGGGTCAGGCTTTAGGGAGACCTTTGGTGACGCCACTTCCATCCTGGCTCCTTGCCCCCAACTGACATGGTCTTCTTTTCTGGAGCTCACTTTGATCTGTGATTGTCATCTCAGCTGGTTATTGAGTTAAACATAGATGACTTAAGGGTCTCTCATTCCCCCGCAGGGCCTGCTTCACCCAGGAGAGACAGGCCTGTGGCCTTCATCTTTGCTTGCTCATTGCTGGGCTTTCCATGATGTGACAATGATCAGCAGGCCTAGGCGAGTTCTCCACACTCAGAGAGCTCTGTGCTCGTTCTCCTGGCATCCATTCTACAAGCAGTGTACTCCGTTTTCTGGTAGGTAGTCCCTGAACAGGGAGCAAGACTCTGGGACTTGGTACCCCTAAGTCATTCCTCACTTTAGACAAACTCCCAGATTTTCTGCTGGCTAACTGATAAAGAGAGTCTTGGCTGCAAGTACACAGGCCCCATGGAACCCCAAAGAAGATAAGCGCCAGAATTTTCAGGTTAAAAGACATAGGGGCCCAGAGTGGGAACCACAAAGGCCTGTTCTGTCTCAGGTATCCCAGGGTGACCTTAAACTCATCCAGGTAGCAGTGAATGACCTTGAACTTCTGCTGGCTCCGTCTCCAGAGTGCTGGGACCACAAATTGTGCAAACACTCCGTTTATGTTGTCCATGGGATCAAACTCAAGGTTTCCTGCATGCGAGGCGAGCAGGGTATCATCTGAGCTGCTGGCCAGCCTGTCCTTGGGGTTTTGAGACAACACCAGATTTCTTGTGGCCAAGACCCCAAAGGTACCCATTTCTGGGAGGGGAGCTGTTTCTCCCAACGGCTGGAGAGAACCGGAAGTGGCCTCTAATGTAAACCAAGGAAGGAATCCCCCTCCGGCCCCTCAACTGCTACTCCACATCACTTAGTTCACTCACTTTCCGTGGTCCTGGGATCAGGGATGAACAGGGTTTAGCTGCCTTTAGCAAGGAGGTGATCCAGGCATAGGAGAGGTTCCTACTGCTACTGAGAAGGGTCTCAGAGAGGCGGGATGGGGAAGGGGCAGACATCCTAGACCAGCTCCTGGGGCACCCTGGCTTGCATCACCTTCACCAGGCCCACCGCCCTCAAGACATCACAATCTATGAGCTGCGACCCCCCCGCGCCTCATCATTGTGCGTTTGCGACCAAACAATCCAACCAACACCCACCCTGCGGGTGGGGAAGGGAAAAAAAAGGAAAAAAAAAAAAAAAAAGGACTGTCCTGAGGCCGGCTCCTCCCGCCCCGCCCCGCCCTCTTCCCTCCCGCCCGGGGCCCCCGCCCCCGCCGGGCAGTGAGCGCGCGCCGGGCGCCCCGCTCCGCCGCCCGCGCCCGCCCGCC